TACAGTATCGATTTGATAACTTCTGCTATTGTCATTCCGCTTTGGTTTGGGCCTGACCTTGACCAAAAGTTTGGCAGGCCAGATTTTATACTGGACCATTTGAGTCAACTTTGAGAAATACATTACGTACAACGGTGGAAAAATCGTTGCTATAGGTATAACACAGTTTACCCGCTTTGGGTGTGAGGGAGGGGACCGTGTGGGGCAATGAGTGCACTGACGTGACGCCCTCGGAAGGCCGGTATGGGATCAAAGCTCAGCGACACTATGGGCCTGTGTGCTGCCTTCGGTTATCGGTAGCACCCTCAGAATCACCGGCGTAGGGCCCTCAGAGCCGCCCGTAAGGGGCCTTGATAGGCGCTGTGTGCCTGTGTGGGGCCGTCATGCGGGTGCCCGTGTGGGCGCTCAGAGGTGCTAGTGTGATTCGCTCAGAGGCGCCGGTGAGGGTCCTTACAGACTAGTGCTGTTGGGCCATCGTAGACGCTGGTGTGGAGCCGTTACAGACGGGTGTGGGGCCTTTAGAGCTGCTGACGCGAACCCTCTACAAGGCGGCAGGGGGTTCTCAGTGACCGGCAAGGGGCCGGCAGAAGAAGTCCTGTGGGGTCCTTAGAGACTGGCATGGTACTGTCAGACGCCGGTGGGGCCCTCAGAGTCACAGGTGTGGGGCCCCCAAAAGTCACCAGTGGGTGGCCTTTAGATGCGCAGGTGCTGACTGTTGGGTCCTCAGAGCCGCCGATATAGAGCTTTAATAGGCACTGGTGTTGGCACTCAGAGTTGGGGGTGTGAAAGCCTCAGAGACACCGGTGTGGGCCCTCATAGGCGCCGATGAGGGCCTCCATAGTTGCCGTTTTGGGGCCCTCAGAAAAAAAAAAGTGTGGGACCATCACAGGCGGGAAATGCCCCTAGAACTGGCCCCTCATAGGCCGATAAGAACTCTCAGAGGCCAGTAATGGGCCTTTGGGGACCACCGGAGGGTTCTTAAAAGCCGCAAGAGGCCCTCAGAAGCCGGCGTGGGGCCCTTATAGAGATCTTAGTGTGGCTATTTAGGACCCATGAGGTGTTCTAACGAGCCCCATGGGGCCCTTCGGAGTCAAAATATGGCCATCGTTAACCCTCAGCGGTCAAATGGCGCCGCAGGGCCCCTCGGACCCGAGGGTCCCTTTGAACCCGATGGCGGGGGGGGGGGGGGTACGTGTCCCCTTAGACCCCTAGCTATGCCACTGTTTCATATGCATCATGTTAGGTATTTTAGGCTCGCCCCCCCCCCCCAACTTGAAAATCGTTCCCGGGCCCCTGTATCTATCTTCTTTTATTGTGCAGTCGGCGGGACCGATTCAAAATTGAGTCGTTGCTACTAAAATAGCAGCATATGGCGTCAGATGATGAACAGGAAAAATAGTTGCGTAAATTTAGACATAAACCACCCCCAAACCATGAATTTCTTTTGAAGGCACTATAGACGACCATTACCGTAAAACGGGGCTATAAGGGACAGGTTTTGACTTTGACAACCTGTCATTCAAAGGTTATTGCTTACTTTTGGCATAATATGCATTTTATTGGTATCATAGATGTACGATTTTTTTTTTTGTTGCTTGTCCCTTATAGCCCCGCACCGGGGTTTTAAGGGACGAGCACTGTTATGGCCTTTTAAACTCTAGTAGCACCATCAAATGGGCTTTAAGGGACACAGACTATGTTTTTAAAAATGTTTACTGCTTTCCTGTGCAAAATATTTGTTTTTTAAGTGCACATACAATGGATTGGCATCCATCAAAGTTTCCAATGGAGGACGGAAAAGGTAACTTCCTTTTTCAACATAAATACCATAAAGGAAACTCAAATATGGAAACATAATAATGTGTTATTATCAAAACACAAATGATATGAGTACAACCACTTGATAATGAGGCATTCTCCTGCCATTCTGAACTCCAGAACACCATCCACCAGAAGACTGCAGAGAGTCTCTGGCAGCTCCTTGGAGCTGGAGGTGTTTGATATCAGCTCACTCATTGTATTCCTTGACCTCTTTGATTTCCATGATTCCCCTGGTGAGGTATTTGGGTTCTTGGATCTTTTGCACAATGTCTGAGAAGGGGTACACCACAGGACATCCTCTGTCCTCTCCAAGGAATGTAGGATGGCCCAGTTTTCAGGTAGCAGGTGCCTTATTGTGCCTACATGACACTTTTTGGGATCCCAAACTTCTGCTCAGCTACCCTGAAAGGCATCCCTCTGTTCACTGCATCCACAGCTTTCATGATTACATCTTTCGAATATGTTTTCCTTGTTTTAACTCCTCGCTTTGACTGGTAATGACGGTGTCCCTTAAAGCCCCGTTTTGACATCAAAATCTACCTGAAACAGAAAAAAGCGGAAATGAGGATGAGGCAAGGAGGGTACATGGATGTAATTTCATGGGCATCTTCAGGATACATGTGGTCATTGACTATACCTTTGTGAAGGTCCCAGAGTCCGTGGTTGTGTTTCCACAAGCAAAGTTTTCGGGGTTACAATTTTGTTGCGAATTTGGCACTTTTTTCAAAAGCTCATAGCATGAGAACAACAACAAGCATCTTGGAAATGGTGATGTGGCATGCATGTCCAGACATCAGTGTTTCATATTATATATCTATTTCCTTTTGTTTCTCGTTCACTGTATTACACAGATCCCTCAAAACTTTTTCCCGAAATTTGTCCCCTATAACCCCACTGTCCCTTACAGCCCCGTTTTACGGTAACTAACTAGATGTGATGAAGATCAAATGTAAGGAAGACGCTCATTTTACAAAATTACATGCAAGTACCAAAAAGTGATGTAAGTACTTATTCAACTGTCATTTTCAGCGCTCCCCGCTAACGTGACTTCAAGTTGAGATATTTGCGGCAAAGTACCGAATTGAGCAAAATGGTTTTAATTTACATTATAACTTGTTGTGTTTTGTCAGAAAATGGTCCTAACTCAGATTTTGTGGAAAAGGTCATTATCTCCCTTTAAGTAATCATTTTTAAATTAATTGTATTTATTTACTGTAATTAAATTAAATCCTTTAACAATTTTCTTTCAAGGTACCAATCCACTTATTGAATGGCCAGCTGAATGTGACGCTCAGAACCTGCAGAAAAGCCGTTTTCCTATCACCATTTTCAAGTGAATTTGCCTAATTTGATCAAATTGCGTTGATTTCTAGTGGAAAATGGAAGCTTTTTCTCTGCGATGAGCGGACGCGATACCGCAAGTACCTGAACATTACACCGCCTTTCACCCTTAGTTGCGAGGGCTGCATTTATGCCCATATATGGTCATCAACAGTCCATTTATTGACCAATCCATTTTTGGATCTTCGCCTCGTAGTTTCCCCAACTCAGTCGGGCGCACTGTGGTATCTCCGATTCATTTATGGAGACGTTTCTATTATTGGAAACGTTTCCAATTTTGACTACTCTTCTGTTCCAAAAATGGAAACGCTCGTTCCATAAATAGAAACGCTAACATCTCCGCACATATTTTCTTGCCAAGGGTGGCTGGATTCGATGTATAACAACTGTTTCGCGTAAAACAAGCTCAGATACACCAAAAGCACTTGTCTTCTTGCATGGAAAGCTGTCGTATGCATTAAAATTCACGTCTTTAAAATGCTCCTGAATCGTATCCATTTATGGAGACTTAGTTTCCAAAAATGGAAACGCCGATGTTCCAAAAATAGAAACGCTGAAGTTCAAATGTGTGCAAACTTAGCTTAAATGTGTTTTTAAAATTCACATGCAACTAAAAATTTGATGTTTTGGGACTGGTTTAGCATCTCGGCTCTCGGCAGTAACCTTGGACGTCGGGTTCGATAATAATACCTTACGAGCCGCAACTTGAGCACATTCAAAAGTCAACTAAAACTAAGATTTCCCAGAAACTACTGGACAGATGTGGTCCAAAGTGGGCAATACATAAAGCGTAGATATCATTTCAATATATAAAATTAATATCCATGTTACACATGAGCTAGAATGAATAAATTCATCGTCAGAATGCAATGGTATTTGGTGTGACGACGGTGCAGACCTTATTTCCATCCTGCTTTTTACGTATTTGCACGGAGATTTACGTTGATCCGAGTCTACGATCATATTCAGCACATTTGAAATATCATAAAATGCCCACTTAAGTCTCCACATAGGGCTTTGCAACAACTTTCATGCGATTTAATCAAAGATTGACGACCACCAGGCCGCTGGTACACCGGAAAACGCAGCCTGATAATGAATGAAAAACTGAAGTTCCCGGTGATGTGGTTGTTCCAATCAATGGGTCAGTCTTTCAGTAGTCTGTTAAAAACGTTATTTTTTGTTCAAAACATTCATAAATGTTATTATTTTCAATTAGAAAAACGTGTGAATTTTTTATCACGTCAACATGTTATAAGCATCGCCTCGTTCGTCAACTTTCGGTTTTCTGATCGGAAAGTCGGAGAACAGGAACATAAACTAGAATGCTGGCTGTCGATTGGTGGCATCCTGCGCATGCCAAATTGCACCAATCAATGCCCAGTTTGCTTTAAAGGTAGCGATGCACACAGCCTCTCCATTTATGGAACAGATCGTTTCTATTTTTGGAAACGGCGTATCCATTTTTGGAACATTGTTCCAAAAATGGAAACGTTTCCATAAATGGATCGGAAATACCACAGTGTGCCCGACTGAACTGCTATTCAGTGGCACATTGGGTATCAGTAGAGCAGACGTAAAAAGGGTGATTTCGCCCTAGATGAAGAAAGGCAAGACATGTGAATGACAAGACAACAGAAATTGTGAATAATGTAGCCAAGAAGGAACGATTCGAAAAAAAATCCAGAAGAAAGTGCGACGACCTCGCGAGCTTGCCGTCCCGGCGGTCCGAGGCGGCTCGTCGACCATTGCTTCGCTGTCTTAGCCAATACCTAGTCCACATAGTGACCATATAGTGAATAACAGGAGGAACATCAGAAAGCTTAGGAAATGCTTACCATTGTTAAAATATCTAGATGCGAACAAATCTTCAATGTAACCGAAGACAACCCAGGCAGCCGACGCAACACAGCGTGGCGCCACAATGTCTTCAAATGTAAGCTAAAATGGCGCAGGCCGTTCGCTGCACAGGCATAGCAGACAAAACTCGTATATAAGTGTTTTTATAAAATCAACGAGAATGTTTTTCTAAAATAAACACATTTAAATTTATATGGCTAATTTCCACTCTCTTTTGAACTTTCAGATTGTAGATTTATTGATTTCTCATTAGAAAAGAAAGAGGACAATGGTTCAAGAAAAGTATCTACCTACCTATTTGCATTGGAACACGAGAACTAAATAAATTGAGATGTAGGTAAAATACACAAAAACATGTGATTTGTTGTTGCTCCCATACATTAGGGTGGGTGTCAAGGTCACCTGAGGGTCAGGTCAGGTCATTGACCTTTGGTGACCTCGGGTGACCTCGGTTCACTTTTTCGAGTTTTACAGGCTAGTTTTTGGAGCTGAATTCGAATTTAGCAACCATTTGAACATTTACGAAGTAGTTTTGGTGCCGTCGTAACATTCCCGCTGGAGCTAGAAAGACGAAATTTGGAGGGTAGGTGGGGGCCATGTGGAACTCTGTTGTGTGTGAATTTCATGACCCTAGGTCAATATCTTCAAGGTCAAATGAGGTCAAATGTGGTCAAATCTGCCATATTAGCGACTTTTTTGCGTTTACACGCCGATAACTCAAAAAGTCACCGGTCGATTTTTTTAAAACTTTCACTATACGAAAGAACAAACATTTGTGAGTATATATGGTGAATTTCTAGGTAATCCAACAATAAATATGGCAGTTAGAAGCCTGCTAAGGGTAAGATGTCGCCGGCTGAAGCGGCATCGGCCGACGCGGGAAACGCGGCAATCACAGTTTTGTGTTTACACACTCATAACTCAAGTTGTTACGGGCCGATTTTCAAAATTCGTTGACCATATGATTGCCTGTACATTTCTCAGTCTTCTCACCGAATTTGACGCGAATCTAATATAATCAGCGGTAAGGAGCGCGATGTAAAGACGGAACCGTCCCGCCCCGGCACAGTCTACAATTCAGGCGGCGCGTAACGGCTAGCGCCGGCCGTCGCACCGCCGCGCCGCCGCGGCGGCAGGATGTTTGACTTTACACCGCTATTACTAGAAAAGTTGTGAACCGATTTTCTTACTTCTTGCACGAGAAGATCCGCAATTCAATTCTGGACAGGTAGCCGAAATTTCACATTGATATTATGCATGCAGCGCGAGTTATTGGCGAAAAACAGGAGGGGTGGGCGAAATCCGCCCCCCCCCCCTTCCAATGCGCGTGTTAAAATTGGGTATCATCGGCTTCCTCTCGTGACGGGCAACACGCTCGTTTTTTCCGCGATGCTCTAGCTCGATCAGGGGCCAAACGCGAGGGGGGTCGTACCAACCCCCCCCCCCTTGTGCCGTCGAAGGACGCAAAATGGCCTGTGCCGGCGAGGGTTAAGGTTATTTACTAGATAAGTAAGGTTGTTTCAATTTCCCATGCTGGCCTGTTAGAGCCCACAGCCTGTCCCGTAGTTTATTGGTATACCAGGGCTGCAGCGATGACATTAGGTATTGACCGCATTGACCAGAGGAGCGGTTCATGTGGCTGAAGGCGCGTCGATAAACTGGTGGGGCGCCACCGTGTCCAAAGAGAGGCGACGTCGTACTTTGCAAAAGAAATGATATAAGTCAGAAGAGCGCTTGTATGAGCCGTTGAGGCGCTAGCCTTATAGCTAAGTGCGCCCTTTTAGCAGCAGGGATGCCATAACACATTATAGTGTGTTATATGGCATCCAGGCCCCTATATGTAGGTATAGGGTAGAGGGGCGATGATTATGACTCGAGTAGCGCTCTTAAAATCGGTAGGCGCCTCACTGGCGGGTACCACATACATTTCATTACTCAGTGCAGAGGGGCACCAAAACTGGCACGAGGGGCGCCTTCAGGAGCCAATCAGCAGCCTGCAGACTGGGGGCGCGATTCTAGCAACAATGATGGCATAAGGTACTGGCCAGAGGGGCGCTTCAACTACTTCAATCAATGGTCGCATTATATGTGGTTAGAATTTCAAAATCCAAATGACCTTTTCCTCGATGATTAATTGAAAATGCAATAAAAAGCAGGGCGTATTTTAACATGTTAACTGGGTCGGCAATTGCCGACCCAGTCACGGAGAATGCCGACCCAGTGACAGCCGTTTGCCGACCCAGTTGCCGCCCCCTCTAGGATGCAGCACGCACATGCAGGCTAGGTGCCGTCATTCATAGTGAGGCTGCTGCCCTCCGAAATGATAATGCCGCCTCTTAAAGTGAAGCAGCCGTCTATAGAAAGTGATGATCCCGCAACTCAATGTGACAGTGCCGCCCCTAAATCTGTTAGTAGCCCCACTCAATGTACCTAATGGTGCCGCCCTTCTAAGCATCTGTGGAGCCCCGCAATGTGATGATACCGCCCCTCAAGAAGATGATGCCGCCCCTTTCAGTATCGGTGGCGCCCCTCAATGTGATGGTGCCGCCCTCAAAATGCCGGTGGCGCCCCTGAATGTGATGGTGCTGCCCGCCAACGAGTCGGTGGCGCCCCTCAAAATGATGCTGCCGCCCCTTAAAGTGTTGGCGCCGCCCCTTATAGTGTCAGTGACGCCTTTCGAAGTGTCGGAGGAACCCACCAATATAATGGTGCCGCCCCTCTAGGTATCCACATAGCCCCTCATTGTGATGTAGCCGCCCCTCAAGCAGACGATGCCGCCCCTCAAGAAGATGATGCCGCCCCTGAATGTGATGGTGCTGCCCGCCAACGAGTCGGTGGCGCGCCTCAAAATGATGCTGCCGCCCCTTAAAATGTTAGTGCCGCCCCTCATAGTGTCAGTGACGCTCTTCGGAGTGTCAGAGGAACCCACCAATATAATGGTGCCGCCCCTCTAGGTATCCACATCGCCCCTCATTGTGATGGAGCTGCCCCTCAAGCAGATGATGCCGCCCCTCAAGAAGATGATGCCGCCCCTTTCAGCATCGGTGGCGCCCATCAATGTGATGGTGCCTCCCTCAAAGTGCCAGTGACGCCCCTAAATGTGATGGTGTCTCCTGTCAACGAGTCGGTGGCGGCCTTTAAAATGATGCTGCCGCCCCTAAAAGTGCTGGTGCCGCCCCTTACAGTGTCAGTGGCGCCCTTCAAAGTTTTGGAGGAACTCGTCAATACAATGTTGCCGCCCTCTAACTTTCTGTAGCGTCCTTCCATATACATAATGGTGCCGCTTCTCAAACCATCCGTGGCGCCCCTCAAAGTGATGGTGCCGCCCCTTACAGTGTCGGTGGTGTCTCCTCAAAAGTCAAGGTGCCGCCTCTCAAAGAAATGCTGGTGTCCCTCGAAGTGTCGGAGGCGCTCCTCAATGTCATGTTGCCGCCCCTCAAACCTTCCGTAACACCCCTCAACGTCATGGTGCCGCCCCCCCCCCCAATGTGCTCACGGCGCCCTTAACCCGCGCCCTGGTGGGGGGGGGGCTATTTTTTGCCCCCCCTCCAGACTTTTCGATATATATCCAGAACCGCTGCGCCGATCGTCACCAAACTTTCAGTACCCTCCCGGACATCAATTTTACACATTGTGACCAAAATTTTTTCCAAAGGCTATGATAGGTTGGCCGGAAATGACGTCAGAGTGACGTCATGTTCTGCCGTTTTCGACCCAAAAAAGGGTTTCGCGGGAAGAGCTGTCAGGCCTATAGCTTTGCAAATACAGAAAAACGATAAAGACATAAAAGCTGTAGAATTGACAGGGCTACAAAACTGCTATCTCGGATTTTTAACATTTTTGGATTTTGACCCCCAAAAATCAAAAAATAGATTTTTTGATTATAATAGCCGAAAAATCCAAAAAGTTTTTTGAATTTCGAAAAAAACCGGAATATATGTGATAGTCCTTACCGCCTTCTATCTACATACCAAATTTGAGATCGATACCTCTTTTTTTGGCCAAGTTACAGCGAAAAAAACTGTTCAAAATTGATGACGTCAAATTTTCAAACTCAATTTTTAGCAATTCTAGACCTTGTAGCGCAAAACAAAGACCACCATTAGACTCCCCGTGACGAGCTGCATCGAATCAATACCCATTTTATGCAAAAATATCAACTTTGAAATTTGACCTTTTTTGACCTGACCTTGACCTGACCTCCACCAGAAAGTGACCTAAGCCGTACCTGATAGTCTTATAACCAACACCATTGAGTTGGAAATGAAAAATTGGCCATAAAACATGCATCGTACCGGGACGGCTGGGACCACTTCTGCGCCTGCCATCTATCGGGCAGTGTTTGGAACTACAGCGGGCGCCGGCCGGCCGCGCCGCGCGGCGCCGTTACAGGGCTATGGAGGCGAATGAAGTGGTATAAAACCAGACGAATTTTACGCTTGTAAAGCAAAAAACGAAAAATGTACACTCACCACAGTGTTCAGCAAAGTACTGGGAACAATATGGATATAATTTAAAGCTAGTACGATGCGAACTGTTGGTTCCCAAGAGCAGTATTTACATACTTGTAGGAGATAGTACTTTAACATTACGGGAGCTTCTAAACTGCGCTCGCAAAGTACTTGATTGTAAATATTTCCATTTAGAGGCAAAAATCTAAAAATGTACAGTCAGAGCGTTGTTCCCAATGCTTCTAGGTACACAATGAGCATAAATTTAGCTCGAAATGTCATCACACATTGGTTCCCAGTCCAGTTTAAAACGACACTTTGTGCCGCAGAGCCTGTCTCTTCCAATGGATGGCGGCTGGGTGGCGGTTGTAGTGGTGGACAAGACAATTCTTGAGTGAAATGAAATCATTTGCTTTCAAAGAATAAATTTGAAGAACTTGTAATAATTGACAAAAGATCGTTAATTACAGTGTATAATTTCAAGTTCATGGCAAATGAAAATATTTTAAACAATGCTAGTGAACCCCAGTACCGCCGCGCGAGAAAGCAAGTACTCGACGCACGGTCTGCCCGCCACTTCTGAAAATGGTCCGCGGCCGGCCGGCCGCGACCCGACACGTCCGCACAACCTTAGTACCTAAAGTTAGGTTCATGTGACCTGACCTGTGACCCTTGGTGACCTGACCTGTGACCTGACCTGGTAATGTCAGTGACCTCTTATAGTAATATATGTACTAGGCAACTGACGCCTTATCGCTGATTCTCGACAAAATGCGTTTTCTTCGGTGTTATAGCGCATTCCCTAGATGACCCGTGAACGGTGAAACATTTCATCTTTGACCTGA